TATTAAAATTTTCATCTTAATAATAATTATTTTTTGCTTATTGTGCACATTCCGATATAACCACTAGCCTACGCCTAATCCATTAAACATTTATTGAATAATAAATCTGTTTAATTAATCTTCTATTTCTTTTGAATCCTATTTATTTATTTATTTATTTATTCTGGGTCTCTAGTCAAATTTCATGAGTACAAGCCTTACGAGTCGTTCGCTCCGTTATATGACTCACGTGATGCCTTAATGTCTTATGAAGATACCGTGACAGCGTGCGCGTTCAGGAATGCTGTTAGTCATTCTACAAACCTGCCCGATAAGATAAGCACAGAGAATAAAGATGAATCCTTATCCAAAAAAAGCTCTTGTGAACCGGTACCAAAAAGCACGTCAAATTCGACCAAGGACGTTTTTTCCGTCGAAAATGACCGTTGCACTGAACAGATTCAATGTCCTTTATCAAAACCATTAAAGAATCTGAATGAAATTTCAACAAATGATACAAACGGGAATTCTGAGGACACTGATGTCGATATGTTATGTAAACTAATTGAAAATGATGATTCGCATATGTTTGATTTAAAATTAGATGAAAATGTCGAAATGTTTTTAGAGTTACAGAAATTACAAACCGATAGATTTATAAAAAATCCCCACAATATGTCAGAGAAAGAAAAAAATTTAGGTAAGAAACTTCATTAGGACTTAAGTGTTTATTGAATGAATTACATATTTAATCGATGACTTTTTTTTATACAAGGCTTAAAGCTGCAGAAGCGACTTGCCGAAATGATATCCGAAGTTCCGCCATCCGCATTGGTAACTCATGAAGGCATAGAGAAAGCTATGGCACAGTTACCAATGCGCGAAACAGCATTCAAGGGAATGCTTCCGATAAACAAAAGTCACGCATATCTACAGAATGAAAATTCTCGTAACCCCCTTTACGGATCTACAAATGCAGTTCGTCTTTCTGGTGTTAATACGCCTATGCACCACAATGAACATCAACAGCAGAATATGATAGCTAATGGGTCGATCCATACGACACCATCGCATCCGATTCCTAGTGGGACACAACCAATGTTCATGGGATTACCACCTACAAGGACTCCAGCTACCCACATACCGATGAATGTCCCTTATGGGATGGGCTACGGTGTTGCCGGTCCTTCGATAAACAACGCATATTATTCAAGCTACCCTGGATCTCAACTAGGGTTACGACCCAAACCTTTTTTTGAATCATGACATTACTGCATAGGTTGGGTTTGAAAATTGGAACTTCTACCTCATTTTTGATAATAATCAAAATCTAAATATATACCCATTCTCAGTCAATAGTGTAAAATTCACAAACCAATCAAATTTTGTTAAATCAATGCTATAAATTATTAAAACTTCGTTATTAGCATAAGTCAAGTTTGATTGGTTGTTTATTTCCACTGTAAAACGCAAATGAAGTTGTTATAATGTTATAATAGAACTTCTTGACCGAAAATATTAAACAATTTTCGATTAAAACAACAAAAAGTGTATCTATCATATTAGTGTGACATCCAGTTAGGTCCAATTATTTATTAGCTCGCCTAGAGATAACTCTACACTATAGGGTGTAACACAAAGTTATTGCATTAAACTTTTTAAGCAAAATAAAGCTAATAAATTGTTCGATTTAAAAGTATCAAAATCATGTGGACAAGTTATAAATCTGTTAAAAGCAAAGATGATCGAAGTTATCAATCGGATTTACAAAAGTTGTTATTGGATTTTAGCCGATCAAAATTCTTGCTGATCAGCAAATAAATTCGATTTTGTTTTCAAATTAAGAATTTAGAAGAGATTTAGTGATTAAGCGTAGGCTAGTGGTTATATCGGAATGTGCACAATAAGCAAAAAATAATTATTATTAAGATGAAAATTTTAATATCCAAAATAAAATTGCAAGACTAGTTGCCCGTTTAAATTTTTAGAGAGCATACCACAAAGGTTTTTGGAAGGCTTACCGAAATTTTTAGTAAATATAACTTGATAAAGTTTAAGTTTTGCTAATTTTTTAAAACTTATACAGCATTTTAAAGCTTTAAAAAATTCTTTAGTAAAAATTAATTTTTTACATAGCAACTATTGTTTATAAATTAACTAAGAAACATAAGTTAGATATATTAAACAAAAATGTCTAAAACCTTTAAAAACCTTGTGTAATTTGAATTTAAACTATTATATTTAATCTCTATTTGGGTACTGAACTAAATTTTTTTCTTTTTGGTAGCTTTATCAGTATTTTTTATTAAAACAAATTGTATAATCTTTTCTTAATTATTCTAGGTTTGATATCTTCTGGCTATTTTTTAGTATTTAGGATAGTTTGTTGCATTGGTTTAAATATTATAAAATTAGAGAATTATATTAAACTAGTTTAAAAAATCAAAACTAAGCAGGTTAAATTTATTTTAAAATAATTTTAAAATAATTTTATAATTATATTTTTGTGCTTTACAACTATGTTTTAACTAAAACCAATACTTATAGTTAGAACAAACTATTTAATTGCTATGCTATAAAATATTAATTATTGGTTAGGGTATAAATATAATTACTATTTATTATAGTATTTTTTTCAAAATAATATCTCTTTTAATTAGGAGCTGAGTATTATTTATCAATATTTTGGTTTGATTTTTAAATAGTACTTTGGGGTTTAACTATATAAATTTATTAATATTCATATAAATATATAATATTGGGCAAAATTTGTTAAATTATGTAATTTGGCAAATCAGAACAAATGAATACATACTGTAAAGCAGCACATATACCAATCAATTGACTGGTTGAGCCAAATTATTATATTTGACAAATTGCCCAATATTGATATTATCTGACAATTTATAATTATGATTAGTAGGAAGGCATAAACTAAATTTTAATTTAAATAAACATAATTATATTGTAATATATAAAAAAATAACAAGACAAATAGCAATTTATAATCATAAGAGTTGCTGAATAATAGATTTTTAAATAGTATTCAGTTCTTTATATAGTATTTACAAATTTTTTTTTTTCAGTATTAAGATGAGATCTTGCCTTGTATCTTTATTTGATGTGTCAAGTATTTGCCTTATATAGCTATATATAATCTTAAGAATACAGGCTTAAACAATTTTATCTACGACTTAAACCTACCAGAGTATGCTACGTTTCTACTACATATTGGGTTATACCTGGATTTGGTGTTCAAACTATATCTAGTTATCTACTGCATTCACCCTATATCTCACCGTCAAACCTTGGTAACTCTCAAATTGGTTTATTCAGGTAATTGGTCCTTAATGGTCTCCCAATTTGGTGTGTCTGTTATTTGAAGTATTTTCTAGACTAGTATACTCCTTCTAATAGGTGGTTTCTCATCCATGTTTTTCAAGCCAGATACTTGCTGCCACCACTAGTCCCACATGAGAAGTATTGATATCACATGTTAGAAAGGGGACTTATCATGGGTTTGTACTGCTTAATTTCTGCTGGCTTGCATTCCTTCATACAATATACAATATATTACATGAATACCCCAAACCTTCTACTTGTATTCCTAGGTATACTAGTTTCATATCTCAAGTCAGGTTTTTGCTGCTGTCGCCCAGTTTGCTGTCCCCAGGTTTTAGCATTTCCTAAGTTATCTGATGCAGTGTACTTTTTGCTACTCCCTAAATACTCCCTTATATGGTATTCGTCAAGACCATAGTTCGTGAGAATTCCTTGAGTTG